AAACATTTTTTTTTGTATTTGTTTCATAAAATTTCACTGAATTTTCCTAATGCGTCTTTTGCATATAACAACAATTGAAGAACTTAGAAATAACTTTGACTTAATGCCGTTTATTTTTAAAAATCTAACATAACAACTCAATGTAATCCATACTACCAATTCTAAGATTGTGAAAAAATCAAAAATCTCTTATATACTTTTGTATCAATGATCCTTTTAATAGTAAAGAATTTGCAATATTTTAATAAACATGAAAAGAGAAAGACTTTAGAAACTTTAAAGAGAACCAATATCAAGTAAATAAGTATCTCTAAAAGGCATTTAAGAAAGAAAAAAAAGAAAAAAAAAGAAAAAAGAAAAAAAAGATAAAAAAAAACTAAGAATAAGCAATGTAATTCTAATCAAAAATTTTAATATTCAAGTATTTTTTCTTGAAAATAATAATTTTACTTTCTTAAAAATAAAAAATTTCTAATATATATTCTTTTGAAATAATATAATTTATTTTGTTTGTTTGTTATTACTCGGTTACTTTTAAAGTATTTTGTTTAGGTCTAATATCCTTATGAAGTATCATTTCTTTTACGTACATGTCCATTATGATTAGTACTTAAGATTTAAAGACTTTTAGTTAGGAGTTTATTATTCCTATTTTCTAAATTGTATGATTTTGGACTTTATTCATTAATTTCTTCTAAATAAATTTTAAATTGATTCTAATGTAGTGGGGTTTTTTTTTTATATTATTTATTATTAAAATATTTAATTCTTAACTCAAAAGATGGTTTTTTTTTATTTTTTCATATTTTTATTTAATATAATCTAATAATAAACTTAAAGATTAATCCAAAAATTAACTCTTTATATATTGAAACTTTGTAAAGAAATCATAAATCTTCATATATAAGCATTTCTGCAAAATAAAAAACTATTTATAATAGGAAAAGAAAAAAAGTAAAAGAAGAAAAAAAATATCAAAAGAAAATTTGATTAAAATCCTTTTTATTTAATTTTTTTTATATAAATTGATTTTATCAAGAAAATATTTTTTAAAGAAAGAAAGAAGGAAATAAGCAAAATACATCTCTAATCAAATGCATAGTTAAAAGCAATATTTAATAAGATAATTCTTTATATTTTTTTGACTTTAAGAGACTTATTTCTAAGCTTGTTAATTTGAAAGATGATAATAATATACAAACTTTAATTATATTAACAATGATGTAGGTAACATAATAATTTTTTTTAAAAAATAAATACTCTTTGTAAGTCTTATGCTAATTTAGATAACATATTTGATGTAATTATACTAACATACATATAAAAAATTAATCATAGAAAGAGATTCCTAATAAATGATCCACCTTCTCTTGAAGAAATTTTTTATAATTTCTTAAAGATCTAGCAAATACAAGGCCTCATTTCTAAATGATAATAAAATTAAATTTTTTAATTTCTTATTGTGTATCATCCAAAATGACTGTATAAAATTTATAAAGATTCTACTTAAATAAAATATATCACTTTTAAAGCTATAACCAAAGCTCTATTTTTCTTAATCTTGTAATTAATAACAAAATGATCCTAACAACTGAAAACCAATTATTCTAAAAAGAAAACCATTCGCAATTGTATATTGAACTAGTTTTAATTAATCTAATTAACTAAGACCAAATCTCTTTTATTTTCTTTAAGATACATCTACAACACATTGATTCTTACCCATGAAGTAGCTTATTCAATAAAATCTTTTAAATAAGATCTATTGGTCTTAAAGCAAAAATATTTTAAAATATTTTAAAATATTTAAGTACATCCTGTAGTAATTCATCTTTAATAGAATATATATTGTAGGCTTTGGATTCAATTTTATTAATAATGCAAGACCTCTATTTATAAGAATTATAAATAAATAAAATAAATAAATAATATAAAATTATTCCATACATACAAGAATAAGATTAGATTACCTTCTTCTTCTATGTTTTTTATCTTATTTTATTTTATTTTTTTATTTTTTATTATCAATAAAATTTTTAATTAATAAAGATAGAGTAAAAAAATATATATCTATTATTTTTGAGAAACTTAATATTACCCAATATCCAAATTATTTAATCACTTTCCGAATAGATAATGAACATAATATAATTCTAACTTGAAAAATCATCTTTGCCTTCAATTTAGCCATAGTCTTTAATTCTAAGTGGAATAAGCTTAAAACCATCTAGTACTCTCAAGTCTCTTAATCTCTATAAACAAACAAATGCAATTAGAGATATACCATCTGTTCTAAGATTAGAAATGCACTTGGAACCCCCTTTAAAGCCAACATAGAATTTTTACATTAATAGATAAAGTTTTTTTCCAAAGAGTGCAAATAAAAAACTAAAGTTTTAGTAATTTGCTTGCTTAATTTTTTTTAAAGAATAATTTTTGTAAATGATATTACCTTTGCTTCAACTACCTACTTTATTCTTGTATACAATTGTCTTCTTAAATAATCTACATCATTTTCTATCTTCTAAGTATTTTTTATAGATAAAAAGAAAAAAAAAAATTAAAATTAAAAAATTAAGACATAAGTACTTTTGTACATGGTTAGCTATTGTACTTAACAAAAAAACCTCAATCTTCTAGAACTTAAAACAACTCTTGTTACATTATCAATTATTTAGATGTTTGAAGAAATTATTTAAAAAATAATTAATTTAATTCTAATACTAATATATAGAATGTTTTCATTACAAATTATTAAACTAAAGAAATAGAATGCAAATATATTCTAAATAACTGAATTGATATTTTTATTTAGAATTAGTTTTAAGATTTTAGAAAAAGATATTAAGAGTTTGTGTAACTCAATTCTAAACAATTTTTTTTAGTGCTTAGCTACCTAGTTTGGTTTAAAGAACTCCAACCAATTGCCTCTTCTTGATTAAAGACTTATGTCTTCTTTTTCTTTTTTTTTTTATAAAAAGTATGTAACAAATTTGAGACATTTAGTATTATAAAGTCTAAATAACTATGGCATGCATAGAATCATAGAAAATATACTTTGACTGTATAGAAGAGCTTCTATAAATACTTATTCTTCAAAGGATTTAAACCTTGTGGATTCTTACTCTTTTTAAGAAATTGATATCTTTTAAAAAATTATAATATCCCTACTTGTCTATTGATAGATGAATAGGAATATTCTAATGTTCAAATATTTCAGGGCTTTCATTTTTACTTTGAATTTTATCATGAAAATAAATAAATAAATAATATTAGAAATAAACATCCACCAAAGATCTATGTTGTAAAATAAATAAATAAATAAAACCCTCATATTCAAAAAGAACTTGTTTTTAAAAACCTTCACTTTTCCATCTAATTTCTTAAGCAATGATCCTATCAATCCTCTTCTTTTACAACTGAAAAGTTATTAAGTAGTAAAATTATTCTCATCCAAGATATAAAACATTTTTGGTTCTCCTTAATGAGACTTGCTTCTAACCAAATTAGAAAACTGTCCTAGGATCATCCAAACATAATTCTAATTAAACATCATAATAGAACTCTCAATTTAGCATCTTATAGAGTATGGTAAAACTAGCTGTTATAAACAAGAAAGAAAAAATAATAATAATAAAATGAAATACAAACAACCCTTAAAAGGAGTCAAATATTTGGAGAATGCAAAAGTTTGGAGTAAAGAGGAAAAATTAGACATCACACAAACACAACATGCTATTAGGATGAACAATGCTCCACTCAAAGGTCTGTGAAACCTTGATATAAACTCTTGAAATATATAATCTATTACTATATGTATAATCCATATAATAGGGAGGTATGCTTCAAAAAATGAAAACAAGAATCATACTAGAGTATTATGTGACCTGCTCAACAACTCTTACATGGATTATACCACAAACAAATCCTCACAAGCAAGAACAATTCATCGGCAGCACCCAAGTCTCAAAACCAAATTAGTGCTGGCAACTCTACAACCTACCACACATCATATGTAGCCATGGTTTGCAACCAAAAAGCTGCTAGCCAACAGAAAATACATGTGACCAATCTACTTATACATTAATGAAAAACTGGAATATGGAAAGCTCCACATGTCACAAAACACAAAAGCAAAGAAGCTCAAGTAAATTAAAATAACTTGGGCACCATGAGTAACTTGATCAGGGCAGGCAATCTGTTTGGTTAGACATGTGTAGACTTTGACATTGGACTTGAATTATGACTGAACATTAATAATGTGACATTCATATTATCATCACCAGGTAAGAAAATGACTTTTAACCCCTCTTCACACTCATGCCCATACTGGTCCACATAAAGTACCAGAAACATCACTTCATGCATCCAAATTTTGACAGTTCAAGTTAGTTGGAAAACTAGGGGTTAGAAATGCACATGAATCCCTGAAATAATTCACTTAACAGACATCGGATGATATTAAAAAATAATTGGTAGAGAATCTGAACATAAGAGGCTATAAGATTCTAACTCTTAACCAATTATACATACCACTAGGGAAGTACTGTAGTTACGAATACTTTATCTATTATTCATGCCTAGAAAAGAAATCATTTTGAAGACTTGCACAAAATAACTAATTATAATGGAAAATTTACCAATGCGAATTGATGTACACATTACCACCAATAACTTTTCTAGACGTTATTGTCAAATTACTCTTCCAAAATATACCTTGTAACAATTCTTCATAAACGGCGTCACCCTTACAGGGATTGATAGGCGACTACAGGACAAAAAATTGCCTAAAGAACTGTCCATAAGCAGACCTACCTTCGACAACTATTTCGTCATAAATCATGCTCATGACCAGTGTCAGTTTGCAAGATTTCTCAGCCGCTTGGATGTCTGCAACTGAAAGGATTCTTAACGTGATTAATGTAAATGTAAAACAACCCCACACAAGACTCAAGAGCTGGCACAAAATCGGTGATGTTATTGAAGGCATAAGTGCAACATGAGAAAGAAAATGTTCAAGAAGTACTATACATGAAAAAAGCAGGTACAACGTCGTGAGATGTACATTGACTAGGGACATCAAGATCTGAGAAACACTACATCGTACAGTGAGAATAGCTCATATTCATCAAACATTAGCTTGCGGTAGCATGCTCAGATGCTAATATGCCAGCTCCTAGCCCCCAAGCACGTGCATCATCACTCACATCTAGACACCAACCAAAACAACTATGAGTACCAGCCTGAGTTCCTGCATCTACGCTTATAGTTTGCAAGGTCCGTTCTGCAACAAACGTATCTTCACAATTACAAATTAGTCTTCAGGTAGGATTCTAACACTAGCATCTAGTCTAGTCCTCTAGAAGGCACACGTAGTCGGGGAATTTTTTTTGAATGACAGAAAATCCAGCTGTCATTGTAATGACCATATTTACTGATTATCATTGTCCTGAAATCAAAACCTCTACCGGAAACTCATAGAAACATTTTCAGCTCCGGTCTGCTGTAGATGTTCTCTCCTTCGTCTTCCAAAACGGGGTAGGCAGCCACTAAGCCATCTTGAGCACCAATATAAAGAGAGTTGTAAATCTTCCAGTATACTTCTCTGACTTTTCTCGCAGGATGAAACAGGCCCTGCAAGCAATAATTCAACAAAATAGTGGGCCCCAAGGCGACCCGCATGCCTTCAATAGCCTCCATTACTGCATTAATAACGTGAGGCGATGTCTCGAAGATATTGGGCCATAAATAGTTCAGCAAGTGAATCAAAGCATCCTCACACCCAAGTCCTGCAACCCCCAAAGCCATATGCTTCACAGCTGAAGCAGCTGTCTGCCTATGGACGAGATCTCGATCCATTAATGCATCTTCCAAGAGTGGAGTCACAGCGTAGATATAGTCCTTCCCCATCTCTCCGATGTATTCGAATAAAAAGGAGAGTGATTTCAACACACCGTTCTGAACATTCAATTCTGGGACCCGATATTCATTCATCAATGCCGGAAGCACAGTGAAAGGAGAGCAAGTTTCAGCCACTATGGCAATAGCCACAGTAGTACACACACGGTTCTGCCTTTCCTGCACCTTAAGATTGTTGAGCAATGTGGCTAACACATCCTGGGGCCCAATTGCCTTGGCAATGTATCCAAAGGTATTCACAGTCGCCCGCCGAATTCCTTTCTTATGAGCCTTCAGCATGTCGAGCAGTTCAAAACAGATCCTCATCCATTCACGTGCAGGAACAAACTCCGCTCCTCTATCAGCAATCCGACCAACCAAATCAATGCAATTTTCTTGTACCTTTTCATGCCTGTTTTTAAGAATTGGAGTTAGTCGAGGCAATAAATCCTTGATTGGAGGAGTCATCTTTGTCATACCGATAACGTTCACTATAGCCTTCAACGCCCCCAGAATAGAACCAAGAACTTCCGGATATTCTTCACCCAAATACTCGTACAAGACTACTCCAAGATGCCCCATCAATTGTTCTTCATGACATTGCTTCATCACAACTGCAATGCGAGAAATAAGATCGGCTGCTTGTTGCCGCACTTTAGCGCTTTTATTGTTGAGCCTCCACTTGATGGTACCACAAATCTGTGGCAAATAGGGCTTGACTCTTTGTCCTAAAGCATTAACTACTGTCCCAAAGCCATTAAGCATCACATTTGCATCATCGCTTGTCTGCTCCTGAAAGGCATACAAAATGCCATCAATTAACAGTTCCTCAAGTCGAGCATCGATATCTGAAGCCCCAAGGTTAGCAACCACTTTCTCGATGGTTTCCATCACCATTCGACGATAAGGTTCGCTCTCATCCTTCAAATCCTCAACAACTCTTCCAACGATATCCGCAACGCCCACTTTGGTTGCGATCTCAACGGTAGTATCAACCAGCTGCCGATAGTTCCTGCGATCAAGAGCCATTCTTCGAACCCAAAAGTTACGGAAAAACTCAGGAAGAATCTCTTGCCTGATATAACTTGCTTCCACTCCCTCTGTGCTTACACATTGTTTGACGACCTTCAGTACAATCTTTTTCATTTCTTCATCGGGAGACTGGAACTCCCTGATGAGGATGATCATCACTTCTTTGGTGTAGTAGTTAGCATACATTGCGTCCATAAGAGGAATGATAAATCCAATTGCTTTCAAAAATGCAGCCAATACTTTGCCCCTGTGCGACCGAATACCTTTCCAAAGCGGCTTCAAAACAGAATCGAAGCTCTCAATACCGTAAGGAGCTGCTGCTTCAGCAAGCGCGGCTAGAGACAAAGCAGTAATAGTTCTGACCTTTTGGTTTTCATCGTTCAAACCATGTTCAATGATTTCCACAAGTGATTTCAAATGAGGAAGCACTGCACATCCCATAAGAATGGCAATCTGCTGCACAATTTTGATACCCGTGTGTCGAGCCTGCCAAGACTTCTTGCTCTGACAGACGGCTTTAAGAAACGGCAACAACGCAGGAATTCCCAGTGCAGACGCCACCACACTGAAAGCCCTAGCGGTGGTGTTTCTCACGTACTCGTCGATATTATCAATATCAGGCCTCATTGCTGCGATCATAGTGGCCAATCCTGCAGCTTTGCTCAGATTGGAAATGATTTCCCGGCCTTCCACACGGGCATAGTAGTCCTCATCAATAAGAAGGGGCTCAATGACCACAAGGATCTTGTGAACGAAAGGCCTGACCAATTCATCCAATTTGTATAACACCCTGTCAATAACCTTCACGAGCAGATGCCTCTCCTGATCCTCAAGCGTAGGAGACATGAGCAAAGGCAAGATCTGGTTAAACAAAGGTCCAGCTCCGAATTCTCTCGCTTTATCAGTCAGCTGCCGCAACGACGTTTTCCTTTGAGGAGGAGTGCCGTTCTTCACCTTCAGCAAGAGCTTCATAATTTTACGCTCCTTACTCTCTTCTGCGGTCATTTCCTCTTCTTCTTTCTCACTTAACAAGGCTCCGAAGTACTGATAGTCCTCAGGTTTCAGGAAAGGTAGTCCTCCAGCTGCCTCCTTCGGGACATCGTATTGCTGAGTGCGATCCTCCTCGGGAATTTGATACAGCGGTGTGCCACCCAAAGGGGTCGGCGTAGCCAAAAGCTTCCGGGCAGGGGTTCTGATGGGCATGTAAGAAGCGGGGGGCTCTAAAATCTTGTAACCCTCCATGGGAAACATGGACTCCAATTCCTCATCTGACAATGGCCTATTCCTCTCCTCGATGTCTTTCTCCCATCGTAACATATTGACTTGTTCAGGCGTCATGGGCCCCCGGAGTGCAATTTGACCTGGCGTTGGAGTGGCAAGCTCGATGCCTCCAATAGGAGTGACTCCAGGAGTGAACATGGATGGAGTGGCCCCTGGTAAAGGAGTAACACTCCCCATGGATGCAGGCGTTTCGTCCCATCGAGATCGCTGCTTCTTCCCAGGAGTGGCCATTCCTGCGAGTTTCGGAGTTGCATCCCATGTCATGCCTGCCGGCGTAGCGCCTGGAGTCGCACCTGCGCCCGGCGTTGCATCTGCATCCGATGCTCGTCCTGGTGTGGGCGTTTCGTCCCATCGATTACGCCTAGAAGCCGCCATGGGTGTAGCATCCAGATTTGCGCGTCCTGGAGTGGGTGTAGCGTCCCAACGGCTAGGGCCAACCGCCGCCTCGGGTCCATCCCAATCTGAAGATGTCTTGGCCTTCTTTGGCTCCTCCTGTTCTTGATTTTGATCCCACCTGTTTCTTCTCTTACTTCCGGTAGTCGGTGCGGCTGGCGCCGCAGCGGCGGCAGGGGCCTGTACAGATTTAGTAGCTGCTTGCTGAGCTTTGGTTGGCGCCAATGATTCTTCATGAGCCCTTCTTTCTGCATCTTCCTCCTTCTTCTTAGCAATCAACTTCAATGTCTCCTCCTTCTCTCGCCTGGTCCGCTCCTCTTTCATAATATCCGCGTAAGTCCGAACCCGCTCGTCCGGAGTGGCATCACCCATAGCAAATGCATCATGTCGCTCAGGAGAAATAATACGATTCAGACGCTGCCTACGATAGTCATCCTCCCTATCAATAATCCGCGACGGCTTCTTAAATCCAATACCATCGTCAACTACTTCACCTCGAGGAATGTCGTTAATCAAATTCTTCGGCGCAGTGTAGGAAGCAAGCTTTTTCGCCACTTCCCTCTCAGTTGCATCCTGCGGCTCGTCGTCATCGTCATTCAGAGCAATTGAGCGCTCATAACCTTCGAACCTGTTCGACTCCCCATACAAATCCTTGTCGAAACTCAACGACGTCATCTTTGCCAACTCCGCTTCATGCTTCCGCCGCTCCTCCTGCACCCTTGCAATCTCTTTCACCGTATCCGTCTCCATCTTCGCCCGCAAACCCTAAAACTTCCAAACGCAAAATTCACGTCCTCTCAAAGACGCTCAAAACAAACTCCCCTTCACTGATTCGTCTTCCCAGAACCCTCAATAAATCCTCAAAGAAAACGCCACTCCACTTCTCAACCGCACTTCAACCCTTCAACTACGAAACTCAAACCCTAGTTCTTCTAAAAAGACTAAATATATTCCACTTCTTCGTCACTCGCCCAAAAAATACACTCAAAATTCCCAACCAGTCCTCTACAATATTACTTATCCACAGCAACACCACTAGCAGCACAACTTCCTGACCGCCGAAGTAAAATAAACAAAACGTCCGGTAGCAACTTCAATGGGTGGTGACGCTACCACAGCGGCCCCAAGGGAAGTATCGCTAAAAAGCTTAAGAGGAAAGGGGCTCGCCGCAACTTGTCTTCAATCACGGGCTTGGGCTCGCACCGCGGAAATGACAGAGATATCTAAAGCCGCGTCCCATGTACCGTGGGACCAAATTTAGCTCCTATGACCGAGTTATCATTCGGAGCGTGTATAACCGTGGCTCGTATGGCGGCCGCGAGGCCCCCTCAACCGCACCAGGTCTCCGGCGATTTGGCGTAAGCAACAAGCGATGCTTAGCGAGCAACTCAAAAGGATTGCAACAGTTTCAGTTGTAAAAAAATTGTATGGATTCCAGCAATTAGTGATCAAGTACAATGCTGGGGACTGGGCTTCTTACGGCTCATTCCGCACTGCGTCGATAGACTTCGACACTCAGTCGAAAGATTTGACATCAACTCGGAGGACCCACTTCACAGGAGCTTCAAACTCGAGCTGCTAGCCACGTCTGTGAAGTATTCAGAACAGGCGCAATCTGATTCGGATCCCGCGGACCCAACTGTTGGTTTGTGGGTCAAGAAAACCCGAGGCGTTCAGATTTGTCCTCCGAAACACTAGCGTTGCGTGCCACAATCTCTGGGTAGCGTCTTCGAATATACAAAAACAGGGTATGAAATCAGGTTGGTCAAATTCAACAGGCGATGTAGGTAAATTGGATGCAACAAAAATAAAACCATAAATTGCACAAGATAACCATTCCAGTAAATCATACATTAACATTCAATTATGATTGAAGTCTATTACACACACACGTAAGTATGCAGATACAAGAAAAATTAAAATGAAGTTGGGTCCAAAACTCAGTTTAGCTCACACTAGTTGAAACAAATTTAAAAATCTGTCCACCTACTTTGAGCAACTATCATATTCTAATGCACTTATGCATGCTTCTATACAAGTGCTTACACTCATTAGGAATTATTGAAGTCCAAAAATCTTCAATATATTCTTATAATTCTAGTATTCTTTTGGGAGGTGTTTCATATTGGTTCATTTGGATTCAAGTCTAGAGATTGTGCCAGCTACTTCAAAAGAGTAAATTCTTGGGATTATCATCCTGTTGAAAAATCAAACTTGTAGAATTTAAATTGTATGCATACATTGTATGAATAAATTCTTGCTCTAAAATCTCTCTATATATGCATTGATCCATTCTTCCCTCAATCCTACACATCACACTAGGCCCATTTGGAGTCATACAATCTCCACCTCCAAACTTGTTTTTTTGTTGTACCATTCCAACACTTTTATTTTGTATGTCACAAAAATTAACGCCAACTGGAACCATTGGAACAAAAGCAATTGACTTTTGTTTCATCATAGAATATTATATAATCCCAATCATCATCAATCCAATAACAATGACATTGAGTAAATTCTAATCTTATCTTAATCTGACAAAGTATAAGCTTTAGTTTCTTCTACTTTATTTTGCATTTTAAATCTGCTTCACATAATACTTCTTTTACAATACTATCACTCATACCAAGATGAATTGTTCTCTCAAGTAATTTCCAACTTTATGTGAAATTTCCTTGCCACCTCTAATGATTTCTCTAACATAAGTCCTTGTATTAGTTATGCTATACATCCTTGGCTTGCCACCAAAACTATGATTCACATCACTCAAATCAATCAAATGTTGCTTACAAAATTGTGCAACCTAAGTTTGAGACATCTATAAGTCTCTAATAACATTTGTAATATTCTCACTCCCCTTCAACTTCTGCAAAGCTATCACATTTACTTGCTTACTATTAGCAACAAAGAGATATCTTAATGAAACCATTTTGTTGAGTTTGCATAGATGATGTGCACTAATGATGGACACAATTATATGTATGAAAGCCAAGAACATGTCCATGTTCTCAATCCTATGCATAATACAACTATGTTTCTAAATTCATTTTGGTTCATATCTTTTTCAATCTTTCTTCCATTGTTGGACTTTTCATTTGATAGCCACATCAATTACTTAAATTAGAACTTAAATCACCAAATAATTTGACTATTATTGCAATAAATTTCAAAGTATGAATAGCTAATGATAGAGTTATTGATTTCATACTCAATTTTGGCAGTCATTGTATACCATTGATCAACAATTTGATAATTGTTTTTGAATTGTTGGTGTTCAAACATGTCAAATTCAATTAACAATTGAAGCACAAAGGAATTGCAAGTAATCCTAAAGGCAGTGTTGAAAGAGCTTATGATTTTTACATAGATTATTTCTATAGCATTTTTTTGTAGTAACATTGGACACCTTAGAATATTTAACGTAATTTAATTAAATGATTTTGAAAAAATTATGTATAATGCTACTATGTTTCTACTTAATAAATTTACAACTACCTAATTAATAAAACATACTAGTGTTACAATTTTAACTACTATCAACCAAAAAAATTGAATATCTATTTAAAGAAAATATCATTATTTGTAATAAAAATAGTCATTTAAAAGGGTTGTAATAAGGATGTTAAATTGCATATTAATTAAGATGATTGAAATAAAAAATTATATAAAGAATTTGGAGACAATCAGATAATGTATTGAAATTTCATTATAAGTGAGGTAAATTCATTAAACCATGTTGTATTACTTCATTAATATATTAGGTGTTATTAATGTTTGATAATAGGTAGAAGATTGTGTAGGAGTTTTTAGAGCTTTGTTATTAAATAAAAAAAATTATACTACCATGTTGTGAATCACATGATGAACAAAAAAATGTTACAATTATCTTATTTATTCAAAGGTGATTAGTGCATATATGTTTCTTTTACACAATTAATACATAGTTGTTGTAGTTTTTGTTTTTAACATTTTTTTAATAAATTTTTATTTTCTATAAATGTTAATACTTTAATTTCATTAAAATAATGTTTGGTTATTGAAATATTTAACATGAACGTCACTGTAGAGTTTCACTGAATTCATTTCAACGAACTACTTGAAATCACTACAGTTGCTAATGTGTTTTTTTGTTATAAAGTTGCAAAATAAATAACAACATAATTACCTGTAGTATACAAAACAATACGTGGTAGAAAGTGGTAATGAGGTTTTTTTTTTAATAAATAACCACTCCAATTCTTTGCCAATGAACTGGAATGGCAATGACAAGTTATCATGCAGCGGATTTCTACTTTCATTGATTAGGGTTGAGAATTATATAATCTACCATCTTCAGAGCGAAACAACATGCTGTGCAGCAAGTGAAACATTGGAATGGATAAGAATCGAATTTACTAAACATTCGTACAAGAAATATGAGCATGGTTACATCATTTACAAAAATCACCCTTTAGCGAAATTACTGGTTTTATTTGAGAAAAGAGAGATAATGGTGAAATGTGGATAGACTTTGCGTACATGTAGGAGTTAGAAGGATATGCCTCAGAATACTTCAGAGTGCCTCATTTGCCCTTAAGCCAAAAAATCTACCATGCATTTAGCAAATGTGAAAATAGCTTAATTACAATGAGATTGGGATCATAAAATCGTTGCTTTCATTTCAAAAGCACAATCAAATGCCGAGCTAAGTCTACGTCATCTACAACAGCTTACATAATTTACAAAGGGTACAGAACTAAGCATGCGCTATGGTTTGATGCAATTCTATGCAAGGAGCTTGCTCATTTCTGAAGAAACAAACTTCAGTACTGCCCACAGGTCTTGCTGGGTTGCTCAGGTTTGAGAGCAGTAGATCCTAGAATCAGATTGAGACTTATCAAGGTATGATGAGCATTCCACACAAGCACAATCGGATACACATCTAGGTGGTGCATCGACAGAGAAGGGGGTTCTCGGTAGACTGGACTGTTGGTAAGTAATGCATGAACCACATCATCACGTCTGAGCTGGAAATAACTTATGACATGAGCTCCAGCGCTTCTCTCGTCTTCCCCAACACGTTCAATACAGTAGCTGCGATGTGACCGGCAGTTAGACCTGCCTCAGCATACTGGTCCTTCGGTGATCCATGTTCGATGTAGCGGTCAGGAAGCACGAGTGGTCTCCACTGTTAACGTGAAAGCTGAGATGAGGTGAGAATGGGTTCACAGTTGAATCGAAAACGATTACCCCCCAGAATAACCACAAGTACGTACAGCCTAGATGGCATCAATCACAAGAACTCCAAACTAATCGCGCAGAGCGTTTCATATGTAAAACACTGGACGAAAAAGAAAAACAATTAAAAAAGCAACGTTTATGTTGTAGAACAGTGGTAGACTTACTTGCAGCTTGCCATCGAGAAGCCCATCCAAAGCCATGAATTGCGCAACGTGAGATCCAAAGCCCCCGATGGAGCCCTCCTCCACTGTAATTAACACTTGATGGTTTTTCGCAAGTTGGCGAATAAGATCGCGATCAAGGGGCTTGCAGAACCGTCCATCGGCCACAGTAGCTGAGATACCCAACTTCGCCAGTAGAGAATGAGCGGCCAGGCAGTTCTGCACCATAGTACCGTATCCCAACAGAGCCACCTGTGTGCCCTCCAGCAAAATTCTTCCTTTGCCAACCTGCACTCAGGAAAGAGCAAGCAAAGTCATACGTCTACACCTTGAACCAAGAGTACTAAAATGTGATGTGGCAAGCACAGAAGGAATTTGGTGCCCAAACGAGCTATCTAACTCAAGATTAATGAAGTTGTGCATTTAACGAATGGCACATACCTCAATAGGAGCACCCTTGTTATTTGCAGGCAGTTCGACGCCAATCCCATTACCCCTTGGATACCTGAAACAGCTAGGTCTGTCCTCAATTGTAACAGCGGTCGCCACCATATTGAAAAGCTCAGCTTCATCAGAAGGAGCCATTACTACCATGTTAGGGAGACAAGCCATGTAAGTCACGTCAAACGCTCCACAATGTGTCGGCCCATCAGCTCCAACAAGGCCAGCTCGGTCCATTGCAAATCTGACAGGCAACTTCTGCAGGTCTACATCGTGTACAACCTGAAAAAAATATTGTGGCACAGACGATTTAGTAATAGGATACCGAAATGTAAACATGGATTACAAGGTATTGGCAACATCTACAATAACGAGATTCATCTCCACCTTACACACATAAAAATCTTCATGAGAATCAAGCTAACATTCTTCAACAAGAAGTTCAGACGACATTGACCAAGGGAGACAACATAAGATTTTTGTAGGAACGAAGACTGTTACTATGCGTGCACTAACCTGATCATATCCCCGCTGAAGGAAGGAGGAGTAGATACTACAAAAGGGTTTCAATCCCTCGCAAGCTAGTCCCGCAGCAAATGTCACAGCATGCTGTTCAGCAATACCCACGTCAAAGCATCTCTCTGGAAATCGCTTTGCGAACATGTTCATGCCTGTACCACCTCCCATGGCTGCATGAATACCAATAATACTTTTGTCCAGCTCTGCCTCAGCTATCAATGCCTCGGCGAAGTAGGTGGTGTAGGCTTGGGTAGCAGTCTTCACTTTCTTCTGCTTGCCTGTTGCTGGATCAAACTTAACAACGCCTGAGGACCCAGTACCAATCGGTTAGAGAAGGAAAATAGTTTTCAAGGAGGGAGAGAGAACCAAAGGACGTGATAAAATAAACCCCTTACTCGATGCCGTGACATGAACTGCACACAGTATGACATAGCCATATGTCCACAAGCATAAACCCAACGGTAAGGACACCAGTTCAGTCTTTTCCCAAATAAGACCACAAATGCTAGACAATGAGCGACTTGTACTCCATCTAATATCACAGGTTAAAAAGTAGACGTAAATACTAACCATGATACTTGTCTGCTGCTCTCTCTGCATATGGATAACCTCGACCCTTTTCAGTCACGAGATGAATCAGCACAGGCCCAGTTGTAGAGGTATTCTTTACCTCCCGCAAGATTGTCACCAAATCGTCAAGATTGTGGCCATCAACTGGGCCAATATAGTAGAGCCCAAGCTCCTCGAACAGCGTGGACCCAGACCCACTGATCATGCCACGAGCATACTCATCAACCTTAGAGGCCAGTATGTGCGCGGAACCTCCGAATTGCTTCGTCACGCCCTGTGATGACAAACCCGGAGTAAGAGGAGGCTAAGACACATAGGGTACAATATTCAAAACACATTGGCTCACATACCCACCTTTGCAACCTCGCGCAGTTCACGAAGAGGCCTGCTTGACTGGAGCCTGCTGAGTGCACTACTCAAAGCTCCTACAGGGGGAGCGGGGCCATCGAGAGTAGCTGTGGGTAGAGAAACTTGCTTGTTATCGTTAAGAATCACAATCATATTGCAATCAAGATACCCTGCATTGTTCATAGCCTCATATGCTTGCCCAGCAGTCATAGCTCCATCCCCGATCACAGAAATAACGTTGTTTTTCTTGCCTTTCAAGTCCCGTCCAACGGCCATACCTAAGCCCGCAGAGATACTGGTAGAACTGTGACCAGCTCCGAATGGGTCATACTCGCTCTCTGCCCTCTTAACAAACCCTGAAAGTCCGTCGGTTTGCCTCAAGGTTTGCATCTTGCCTCTTCTCCCCGTCAGGATCTTGTGTGGGTATGTCTATTTCAACCACAGCGAACATAGGTTGAGTTTCAGTCCCAATACCTATATAGATGATTGATATTTGATAAGTTGAATTTAGAATGTCATTTAAAAATGAAAAGTGAAAAAACACCGACACTTCGATGGTCAGCCACAGTGGTAATTCGGCAATGCCTATACTTCTGGCATCACAAAAATGGATGGAAAATGGCAACAAACCTGATGGCCAACATCCCATAAAATCTTATCGTCTGGAGCGTTGAAGACATAGTGAAGGGCCACGGTAAGTTCCACAACACCCAAGCTAGAGCCCAAATGTCCTCCTGTCTTCGAAACAGTGTGGATAGTCTCTGCCCGCAATTCGTCCGCAAGTTGTTTCAACTCCTGCAAACACAATGCGAAGACAATTTCAAATCTCTGAAGAGAATTGCCAAGTATGCTGAAAAGCCAACCATGAACAGAACCGTAACTTAAACGTGGACTCACAAAATACGAATTCTACTACTCTGATGCTACCTATCTGTGAAACCGCCATTATGAAAATCGACTCTACACTGTGAAATTGATCGACAATTCCGAATAAAAGCAACCAACCATAGGGTGATAAACGTACTCGCTTGGTGAGATTCTTCATATGAACGGGATAATTGACGGTATCCAGAAGAGGCGTTGGTGGCTTCTCGGAGGGGTACTCTGCACCATTTTCCGGCACTTTTGCCGCCAAAATCTTACTCTTCTCCTGCAAACAAGCAACAAACCACCGCACTTCACAAGTCTAGTCAAGATCCTGAGCCCTACAGCTTACAACGAAAAGCACCTCCTAATTGCCTAATTAAACTCCCCCGCGCAAAACCCCTCCCAAAGGAAAAGAAAGTAGCGAGAGAGACGAAACCAAACCAAAAAAAAACAGAGACAAACGAGCAAAACAGGACAACGAAGCGGAAGAGAAAAGACTTACATTAGAGCGGAGGCACAGCGATGTGTGCTGTCCTCTCAATAAGTTAAGCTTCTGTATCCCAAAGAATCCACTCGAATCTGCTCTCAATACGGACGAAGAGGAAGAAACAGGCGCTGCAAGCTTGTTGAGAGCCACGGCTTGGCTCAAAGCCGCAGTAGCAGCCATAGCAGGATCCAAACCAACAAACCTTTTCAGGAATTCACAAGCTCACAAACCTCTGCGAAGGGAAACCGTGGAGAAAAAAAAAAGAAAAAAACTGTAAGAAGATATCATGCACACACAAAGCTCGCGAGCGTAACTGTTGGTATACTGATCGCAATCAGGAATCATTCGCGAGCGGAGGATAGATCAGGCAAGCACAGCATGTCCAACTCTCCACGGCCGATCTAATGGACTCATAAACTACTTCCCATTGATATGGTGTCTCCGCATAATGGGTCAAATCAATGGATTGGGAGCCTACAACGATTTTTGTATTTTAAAAACGGCGAGAACACTGCCATCTGTTGGTCATCCTTGCGCTTCACACCTTCTGGTGAAACCAAGTATGTCGATAGAAACAGGACTGACCGATCGTCCACGTGTTTGATATTGCTTGCGATTGATATTTTATGAAAGTGATACTTTTCCCTCAGTTGATGGGTGTTTCAGAGTTCCACTGTTGATGTAGTGATAAATTCTTTGAACTCAGGATGACACCTTGATATCTTGTGTTTTATAAAAGTGAAAAAGAGACGAAAGAGGCTAACTGTGGCAATCACTTGCTTTATGTATAATATCATTACAACAACTTCATTGCTATTAATCTGCATACTTTCATCGATGTTATTAGGTACAGTATAGTTGCCTATATTGGCAATCTTCTCACTTATTCCTATGATTTGAATAGACAGGAAGCTACCACTTTGCTTAGTAAAATTGTTGATGAGACTCATAATGTATTCTTGATCATCATGAGATACCTTAAGACCATTTGTAATATGGTTCTTCACAATCATACTAATATTCTTTATAGCCTTCGTTGTAGCAACGGTATGCCTCTCAGATGCATCCATCTTTCTCTCTAGAGATGATATGTTGTTCTCTATGAGAGACTTTGTTTTGGTATTTATCAAAGACAACTTTGCAAAGACAATTGACATGTCCTGAGAAGGTGACTGTTGTTTGGGCACTTTGGATCTAATATTAAGAATACCAGGCTTGAATGTAGAGCCTACATCTCCTTCTGATTATAAGATCATAAGAAGGCATCCATAGCTCTATTAGCAAATACAAATGATGAGCTCTATGAGTCTCCGTTATGGTTTGGTTTAAACAAACCTAGATTAAATCTTATCTTTGGTAATCTCACATCATGTTCATCTGAGTTTGTGTCATGCTTATTTGACTGGATGGTGTTATATACATAAGTTGGTGATAGAAGATGATTATCCTCATCTACATCATTTTTATATCTTGTTTCACCTTTCTTTAAGGCATCTACCTTAATCTGAAACAAATTAAAGAACTTAAAAAGCCATGGTATTAAACTGCTACATAGAACTATCAAAAAATAGTAGTATTTATATTATATAAAGTAGCCATATAGGAATGTAGGAACATGTGACTAGATCATCAAAGTTCTAATAATCTTTTCAATTTCTTTGGATGGATTTCAATTCTTATCACATTTGATTTTGTAGTAGAAGATGGCAAAGACAATCTTTTTTTGCTTGCAAGATGCATATTATTGTCCTTAATACATATCTTTTGTATAATTTTTATTTTATTCTTTTTGAGTTCTATTTTATTTATTTTTATCATACTTCATCTCAAATAAACTAGACTGATACTAACACCTTTTTGAAGATCCGTACTTGACAATCTAGTGTTGATTTCAAGATATTCTTTTACAACATTTTAAGCTATCAACTTTGTCATTTTGGCATATACAATAATCTTTCTATTATTTATATATTGATATAATATCATTATTATCTATACAATACATAAAGATATTGCAATCCAATAGATTAGTAAGAAATTAGAATATTAAAGCTATCATTTCTCTAGTTAGAATTTCAACATTATTATCTCTTTTTGATATACAAAGTAGTTTTATATAGGATAGAATGTATGAAAATTGTTGTTGATATTAATGCTTTAATTTTTATTATGTCTAAATATACTATATATCATTGTATGAAAAAAAAAATCTTTTTAAAAGAAGCTAATAATGTACTAAATAAAGAAGTATTCAAAAGAATAAAATATAATTTGTATTATATTGGCACAATAAAAAAATTAAAAATAAATAAATAAAAATAATGAAAATCCTAAAAGACAAATTCTATTGCTTGTTTATATTTGATAGAAAGCCATTTCTTAAAAAATAGTTAAAGATGAAAAAAAAGTCAAGAAAATACATAGAAGCAAAAAAGAGACTTTATCAAGGACATGAATTTAAAAGAAAGAAATCTTCAATACACTCTTATGTCATTGAAAAGAACTAAAAAGTCACTCAAAGATGATATAGTATTGAACTAGAATGGCTATTGCTAAAAACAAGATGACTAGAAAATCTTGAAACAAGACTAAGGACTAAAAAGGTATTAATAAGAGTGAAGAAGACTTCACTTGTGCCTCCATATATATTCTTAATTAAGAGCTACATTGTCATATTACATGAAGCCTTACTTGAGAATGTATCAATGACTTGGTTGTAGAAGATAGAAGAAGTATTGCAATAATAAGATTCTAATTCTAATATTATCTTAAATAACTCCAATTAAACTTTAACAATGCTAATCAAGCTTTAATCATTCAAAAGAAATCTCAAAAAAATTACGAAAGAAGCATGAAGAAATCATAAAAAAATTCAAAAGAAATATTAAAATAAAATCAAAAATATATCTTAAATAAATTCCAACCAAAACTTACTTTAATCTTACTTAAAATTCTAGTAGTCTTTACTTAAATCCTAGATTAAATCCTAATTAAATTCTAAAAAAATCCTAAATCTTAACCAATTTTTAAATCCTAAATCAAATCTTAATCAAATTAATCTAATCTTACGTAGTTTAGAACCTCAATATCTATCAATTATACCATTGTTCTTACTTATGATTTTATAAATCTTTTAACAACTAATTTCACAAAAAGCACACAAAATTTGAAGAATTTCAAACTCACCAAATAGAAGATCAAACTTAAATTCCACTTGGATATTGGCCAGCTTTCTATTCAAATCTAAATGTTGAACTTCCACTGCCAATATTTTTTTCTTGAACCATTGAATTGCTTCCAAAATATACTTAAATTGTGAAAAATCAAATCTAGTCTCTACATAAAAAAAGTTTCACTTCAATCCAATTAATAGATTGCTAAAGATCTTTAAAATACTTCCTATTCTTCAAATTTCAATTTTTGAGACCTCAAGCTACAAAAACCTTTACAAACTTTGATTTAATTGTTTGATTGACTTTAAATTTGCACACATATTAATAACTAAAACACCAACACAATACCCAAAATTCATCCATACACACACCACATAACTCAAGAAACCTTCAATTTTGGAAAAAAAAATATATTTTTTATAATCTAATCCAACCAAGAATATCTCTAATTTTGAAAATCTTCCAAAAATTGATTATTGACTTCATTGAAATAAAACCAATGCTTAAAAATCTCTTTCCAAGTTTGCTCTCAAATCCCACTCTCTGACCTACCAAAAAACCCCAAAGTTGCCATAAATATATGGTTTTATGCCTTGGGATGTCATTTTAACCCAGGTTGATAATTGGTCCTCTTTGGATATCAATATTTGATAATTTGAGGTAGTTTTTGCTTAAATCTATTAGTAACTTCCTTTTAAATATGTCTATATTAATTACTCATCTCATTTACTTTGATTTGAGGTATTTATGTTCCTACAAAGCAAATAGAAATCCCTTCTCTAAAAGGCAGCATTAAGACTAAATTTTTTATTACCTTCCTATCATTTATCCTTATTTTTCTACCACATCTTCCTATTAGGCTCTTCTATAATAGTATCTATATTTTTATTTTTTACCATATGATTGTATTACTATATGACATCCACCCCCTCTAAACTTCTGTAACTTTTAGTATGCACCAAATAATCCAATCCTTATTTGATTCATATTATTTTCTCCATGCCTTCATCAAAATCTTCTTCATCATTTTTGTTGTCTAAGTCAAATTTATCTTCTTATTTTAAAAGATTTATGTCATCAATAAGATCTTCTATATATATTTTTATTTATCTTTGCTTGAATATCTTCACTCACTTCTTTGTAACTAGTATTTTTAACCTTCTTCTATCTAATTCTTGTAATGAATAAGTTGTATTATCATACATAGTTGTTATCACATATGGTTCAAACCATCGTTTAGAAAAAAAAAAATTAAAGAACTATTTTGAATGTCTAAGCTACTATCATAGACCAATACCTAATCACCTTCTTCAATTACTTTAGGTCTTAATTGATGTTGCTTATTAAATTATACCTTATTTTATAATTATGCCCTTTTTAATCTTTCTAATGTTATTTACATATCTTTTGGTCTTTGCTCCAATAGGCATATATTTTGAGTTATGAATTACTAAACTATGAGTTATTCTGTCAACCTACAATACAAATGGCAAAAGTTGTGGCCATTCTCTAACCATCCCATTATAAGCTTTAATTAATGCTTTTATAATTAGTGAATGACCACATTCACTTTTTGTATTTCTTTCAGGATTATAAGCAATAGTCAATGATAACTTAATTCCAGATTTATCAAAGAATTTACGAACTCTTTGTCTATTTAATTCTCTTCGATTAGCAATGATTTTTCCTACACATCTATAGTGGCAAATAATAACTTCAAGAAAAAATTTATAAATTCCATCTATAGACTTTGTTCTTAATGTTTTACTTTATACTTGGTTTGATAAATCTTCCCGAGCTAAGACCAAATATCTCATTTGCCAAAATTCTATTGGCATAATAATTAAATCAACAATCGAATTAAAATAAATAGCCAAAGGATATGTAGGATAGAGACCATCTTTGTATCATATATAAGAATAAATTTGACAAGTTTTACATGATTCTACAAATAAAAGTACATCCCGATACATATTTTTCCACCAATATCACTCTTTAAATTTAGCAAAAGTAGTCCAAATTTTCCTATGCACTACCCATAAACAATCATAAAATTCTTTTAATAATTTTTATTGCTCTTCTTTGTTGCCTCTCACTTGTTGTGGCATTTCAATCCTTTTTTTGGTCTCTTCTATAAAAATCTTTCTTGAAGCAAAAAAAAATAAAAAAATAAAAATAAAAAAACAAAATAAAATAAAATAAACAAAACAAAAAAAAATCCTTATTTGTTTAAATTTATTTGTAGACTAATATTCTTTTTTAATTAAGATATTAAAATAAAAACCAATATTTA